AGTTCTAGTTCAGTTCTAGTCAGTTCTAGTTCAGTTCTAGTTCAGTTCTAGTTCAGTTCTAGTTCAGTTCTAGTTCAGTTCTAGTCAGTTCTAGTTCTAGTTCAGTTCTAGTTCAGTTCTAGTTCAGTTCTAGTTCAGTTCTAGTTCAGTTCTAGTTCAGTTCTAGTTCAGTTCTAGTTCAGTTCTAGTTCAGTTCTAGTTCAGTTCTAGTTCAGTTCTAGTTCAGTTCTAGTTCAGTTCTAGTTCAGTTCTAGTTCAGTCTAGTTCAGTTCTAGCTCTAGTTCAGTTCTAGTTCAGTTCTAGTTCCGTTCTAGTTCAGTTCTAGTTCAGTTCTAGTTCAGTTCTAGTTCAGTTCTAGTTCAGATCTAGTTCAGTTCTAGTTCAGTTTCTAGTTCAGTTCTAGTTCAGATCTAGTTCAGTTCTAGTTCAGTTCTAGTTCAGTTCTAGTTCAGTTCTAGTTCAGTTCTAGTTCAGTTCTAGTTCAGTTCTAGTTCAGTTCTAGTTCAGTTCTAGTTCAGTTCCAGTTCAGTTCTAGTTCAGTTCTAGTTTCAGTTCTAGTTCAGTTTCTAGTTCAGTTCTAGTTCAGTTCTATTTCAGTTCTAGTTCAGTTCTATTTCAGTTCTAGTTCAGTTCTAGTTCAGTTCTAGTTCAGTTCTAGTTCAGTTCTAGTTCAGTTCTAGTTCAGTTCTAGTTCAGTTCTAGTTCAGTTCTAGTTCAGTTCTAGTTCAGTTCTAGTCAGTTCCTAGTTCAGTTAGTCAGTTCTAGTTCAGTTCTAGTTCAGTCTAGTTCAGTTCTAGTTCAGTTCTAGTTCAGTTCTAGTTCAGTTCTAGTTCATTTCTAGTTCAGTTCGAGTTCAGTTCTAGTTCAGTTCTAGTTCATTTCTAGTTCAGTTTCTAGTCCAGTTCTAGTCCAGTTCTAGTTCAGTTCTAGTTCAGTTCAAGTTCAGTTCTAGTTCAGTTCTAGTTCAGTTCTACTTCAGTTCTAGTTCAGTTCTAGTTCAGGTTCTAGTTCAGTTCTACTTCAGTTCTTGTTCAGTTCTAGTTATATCGGGACTATAGTCAAGAGTCTGGTCTATAGTCGAGTCCAAAATCTGGATTGTAGTACATTCTTAGTCGTTTTTGTCTGTTTGAATCTTTTATATTTATTTTACACTTGATTTAATTTTATTTTGTTAATTTTCTCTTGTCTTCATTTTAAGTTTTAAGTCTTCAGTCGAGTGTTAAATTTGGTCCTTTTCGATAAATAATCATTGATATTTAAAATTTAATTCGGTTTTTGAGAAAAAAGGTGAACATTTTTAAAACGCAGAAAGAAATATGTTTTCAAAAGGAAAAATAAAACTTAAATTACAAAATGAACGCAAATAAGAATTGAAAATTTAGAAAACTAATTAAAGGTCTAATTTTATAAATTCATAGAATATTTTTAGAATTTTACACGTTCTCTTTGGTTCATTAACAAAATTTTTTCGTTTGTTCTTATTTGACCAAATGAATAGGTCCTAAATTTAATCAAATAATAAAAATTAAATCTATTACTTTATTTGTGTTTAATTTCTGTCTTGTCTCTGATATTTCGCAATACCATTTTCCATTTTATTCTCGTGCTAAATTTGTTGCTACAACATTTTTTTGGCAGATTACATTCAGTCTTTTGTATTATTTAAATTGAGGCTTAACAATGTGTATATGTCTATATTCACGATTTAAGAAGGTTTTTTCAACACCCATATAAAGGTATAATCCTTATGGAGAAAAACGTTAAAAGATTAAGATTTTTTTGTGTAAAAAGCTGTTAATAGAACTCAGGTAAATACTAAATGTATTTGCCTTTTTTCTTCCTTCTTACAAAAAAGAAGGAAATAATTGAATCCTTTTGTTGATATCATGACTAAAAGATGTTTTTTCAACAGCTTTAACAAAAAGACATTTATACAAGAAGAGAAAGAAAAAGAAACACAAATAAATCTGTTAAAATCCTTAATATGCAAAAGGTAACAAGAAATGAGAGAAAGAACTCAGTACTAGCAGGATATAGAAACACATATCTTTACTTGTATTTAGAGGCACAAAATAAGTTGAAATCTTATAAAGTATTAAGATTCTGGCAAAAAGGAAAATACCAACCATTTGTAATTTACAATAAACGTTAACTTGCTTATGGAAACCTCACACAGAAAAAAGGGAAATAGAAACCCATTTCTAAAATGAAAGGTTATTGTCCTTGAAGCATAAATATGCCAGTAACTCCTTGGTTAATTCTTAAAATCCTTAGCTGACTTTAAGTTAAAAAAACAAGACAACAAAGATAAACAAAAAGAAAAGATAGACTAAAAAAGAAAAAACGTAAAAGAAGCAACATTTGATTGTGTTGCTTATTTAACAAACAATTGAATATTGACTCACTTATTCCCTTAACTAACGAGCAGACTCACTGAGTCACTTAATCACTTACTGGCTGTATCTTTTTTTCCCCTAAAATCCATAGCCTTTCCCCTCCCCCTTCTCTTTCATAATTTATCTAAGTAGCAAAAGTCTTTATATGTATGACCAATAAAATATTGCCTGTAAAAGCTTCATCGTATCTATTTGTTAAAGTATCTGAAGTAAATACAGAAAAAAAGTTATAGTCTCAAATCAACAGCATGAAAAGGATCCCTTTTCACTTAACAAGATGCATACATAATGAAGCAAATCGACATTTATGGAACACATACAATCCAACAGATATGTATATGGATAGATAAAAAAATACAAGACATACACTCTTCAAGATTGGAAATAGAGACAAAAAGAAACGAAAATCCTACACACAGAATACATTAAATAATCCTTGTTGTTTTTATACCTTTCAAGTAAATTATAGGGGAGTTATAGTGGTTTTACATAAATTTTGTAACACTTAGGGTGATATGAACTAGAACAGAACTAAACAGAACTAGAACAGAACTAGAACAGAACTAGAACAGAACTAGAACAGAACTAGAACAGAACTGGAACAGAAGTAGAACAGAACTAGAACAGAACTGGAACAGAAGTGGAACAGAACTAGAACAGAACTAGAACAGAACTAGAACAGAACTAGAACAGAACTAGAACAGAACTAGAACAGAACTAGAACAGAACTAGAACAGAACTAGAACAGAACTAGAACAGAACTAGAACAGAACTAGAACAGAACTAGAACAGAACTAGAACAGAACTAGAACAGAACTACAGAACTAGAACAGAACTAGAACAGAACTAGAACAGAACTAGAACAGAACTAGAACAGAACTAGAACAGAACTAGAACAGAACTAGAACAGAACTAGAACATAACTAGAACATAACTAGAACAGAACTAGAACAGAACTAGAACAGAACTAGAACAGAACTAGAACAGAACTAGAACAGAACTAGAACTAGAACAGAACTAGAACAGAACTAGAACTAGAACAGAACTAGAACAGAACTAGAACAGAACTAGAACAGAACTAGAACAGAACAGAACTAGAACAGAACTAGAACAGAACTAGAACTAGAACAGAACTAGAACAGAACTAGAACAGAACTAGAACAGAACTAGAACAGAACTAGAACGAACTAGAACGAACTAGAACAGAACTAGAACAGAACTAGAACAAACTAGAACAGAACTAGAACAGAACTAGAACAGAACTAGAACAGAACTAGAACAGAACTAGAACAGAACTAGAACAGAACTAGAACAGAACTAGAACAGAACTAGAACAGAACTAGAACAGAACTAGAACAGAACTAGAACAGAACTAGAACAGAACTAGAACAGAACTAGAACGAACTAGAACAGAACTACAACAGAACTAGAACAGAACTAGAACAGAACTAGAACAGAACTAGAACAGAACTAGAACAGAACTAGAACAGAACTAGAACAGAACTAGAACAGAACTAGAACAGAACTAGAACAGAACTAGAACAGAACTAGAACAGAACTAGAACAGAACTAGAACAGAACTAGAACAAGAACGAACAGAACTAGAACAGAACTAGAACAGAACTAGAACAGAACTAGAACAGAACTAGAACAGAACTAGAACAGAACTAGAACAGAACTAGAACAGAACTAGAACAGAACTAGAACAGAACTAGAACAGAACTAGAACAGAACTAGAACAGAACTAGAACAGAACTAGAACAGAACTAGAACAGAACTAGAACAGAACTAGAACAGAACTAGAACAGAACTAGAACAGAACAGAACTAGAACAGAATAGAACAGAACTAGAACAGAACTAGAACAGAACTAGAACAGAACTAGAACAGAACTGTTGTAGGGTATCAAAAGTGCGTTCTTTTCCTATCTTCTTTCGTTTGACTTCATTTTATCAACATTTATTCAATACAATAATACCTCTACTAACTGTAACAGCAAAAATATATACAATTCCCTAGACAGAAAAAATAAAAAACTAAGCGTCTTGCAGTAGCACAAACATAGACCACATAGATTTAACCCAAAGCTCAAGCAGAGAAAGCAACATCCTTTCGAAACATTTTCATGTATCATTGATTTTTCTCATAGCAAAAGGTTAAACAATCAAACGTAAGAATAATTCCAAGGAGTACAACAATAATGCGATAAATGTTACAAATTATTGTGCTAAAATATCTTGGAGGACAATTTTGTTTAAATTTCTTATGAATTTCGGTAGAATGTAGAAAAAAAACTTTTAGCAAACATTTCTAGTTAATTAGAATTTAAAAGGTTCTTTCTACGATTGTTTTGGTTTTTTCAAGAAATTTATGCTGAAGTATTCGGTTGAATGAAAGGAATAATAATAAAAATAAACAAATTTGTTTGGTTATTAGAAATTAATGTAAATTAAGGAGACCAATGAAGCTTATCAAATGAAAAGGACCATTGAGTATGAAGTAGGATAATTGCAAGGATTTTTAATAAGGGTGATGAAGTGTTAGTATTTTGGGGTTAAAATTTAGTGATAATATGAGTGATCATAGATTATGGCTATGTTCCTAATTCAGTTTTAAATTTTTTACTTTAAAAAATTTTAAAAATTTTTAATCTCTTCAACTTATAACACGTTTTACACTTCAGCCTGTTCAGTATAATCTATCATTCATAATACTTTTTTTTGCTTATTATAAGATAAGATATTAAAATAAATATTCCAAATTTCTAAAAGACATTATTTATTGCGTTGTACGTTTTTCGTGTCATTAATGGGAAACCAGTCTTTTCTTTAACTTTTTAAACTAATAAACCTCCCGGGGCTGAAAGATTTGGCAAAGTTTTGACAGTCTTTAGGAAATCGGAAACTTCACAGGCATAAGAATAACCAGCAGTGATATCAGTTTTCTTCCAGCTAATATAGTTAACCTTATCACTGACATCATTACAAATAATATAGTCCTTTTTGATTTGTTCCAAAGTCAAATGGGGATTGTTGACTCCGACGAAAACAATACCCTTTTTGGTGGCTGGCTGTATAACCACACGGAAGTATAGTTTGGGTACAGGGATCAAACCATTATTATTGGCATCATGGGACAAATAAAGAGGAGTCTCACGTCCCTCTTTGTTGGGTAAAGAGGTGACACCATAAACACCGGTATAGCATTGGACATTGATTTTATTTTTGGACACCCAGGCACGAACACCGTCCTCTACACGAGCCCAATTACCGGCATTAAAAACTTGCCACTGGGGAGCCGCATTAATGAACAGGAAAGTGGCACGTTGTTGGGTACCATACACAAAATCAGCCTTGGCGCCCATATGACCACGAGCTAAATAAACATTTTTGGAATTGTCAAAATATTTACTGGCATCACCACCCAATTCAGCATTAATGGTTTCCTGTTGTGTAACCTGAGTATAAAGTTTGTCTACATTTTTACCACCAAAAAAGCCAGCAGTTTGGAAGGTAATACGATCCACACCAGTCTGATAATAATTGCTGCCCGGGTGGAGTGTGTGATAAACATAACGGGTAACTTCTTCCTCTTCATTAAAGCACACTTGCATTTGTTCGGCAAAACGTGAGGAAGAGACCTCAAAACCCACTTTAATCAAAATACCACCATTGCAAGAGCTGCCAGTTTTCTTGGCCACAAAACTGGGCCAAGATTTGCAAACCAATTCCGAAAAACTATAGCTAGAGCCATCGACCTTAAAAGTAGTGCCACTAACACAGGTGGCGGTTATAAGTGTCTTCGCAAAGGATTTAAATTGTCCAGGGCAGAACATTTGCATGGTTTTGCCCGAATCCACTTGCATATAACCAGTATCGGAGTAGGGATAGAAGTTTGCAGAATCGGTCTCCAGGAAAACAGGTTGTGGAGAACTTAAACCAGAGCGTATATTAATGCTACACTCTGTTCAAAATTTAAGAAAAAATCAGTTAATATTTTCATTAATATATAAAGTCCACAAGAAACTTACCAGCAGCACGTCCTTCAGCCAAAATATTGTCCTGCTCAACTGGTGATGAGGGTAAAACCTCAGCATAAATATTACGTTCAAATATTTCATCCTCCACAACCGCAGGAACTTCAGGATCCAACTCTACAGGAACTTCTGGCAAATCATCTGATATTTTTAAATTCTCCAACAAATCCGCAGGCACACCCGTAACACCAGCTGCCGTAAATTGGAACAGACAAGTGGCTGCTGCCAGCAGCAGCAATAAACTAGTAATAAACTTCATGGCTAACAATGGCACTTTAGTCGAGGGATTCACAATGTCTGAGACTTAAATACCCAACAGATAAACATATTCATACTATATACATTGTTATCAATAACGATTTCTTTTAAAGAGGGTCCCATTTAAATATATTTTAACCAAAATTGTTAAGAATAAAAACCAAATTTTTGCATTTTCATACCACATTATAAACACATTTATACAAACAATTATTATCAGAAATTTTTTGAATATTTTTCTCTTCGATTTTTTTTTTCAGACATTATCTTGTCCATCGAGTACTTGAGCGGCTAAATTGGTCAAGTGCGTCAATTTTTTCTTTATTCTTTTTTTTTTAATGAAATGTATAGTTTTTTCTGTTATTTATGGTCTTATCTATAATTTGTTTTGATTTATTTTTATAAAAAAATATATAAGTTTAATATGATTTATGTTTAATCTTAACTATTTAATAATAACTTAAGTATTATTAAGTTATTATTGAAATATTTATTGTAAGTTTTATTGTTGAACATGAAGTCTATTTGGTTTTCAAGGGTTAAGTAAAATATTTTTTTCGATACTCTAGTTCAGTTCTAATCCTGTGCTAGTTCAAATTCAGTTCTAGTTCAATTTCAGTTCTAGTTCAAGTTCAGTTCTAGTTCAATGAATAGTTCAGTTCTAGTTCAGTTCTAGTTCAGATCTAGTTCAGTTCTAGTTCAGTTCTAGTTCAGATCTAGTTCAGTTCTAGTTCAGTTCTAGTTCAGTTTCTAGTTCAGTTCTAGTTCAGTTCTAGTTCTAGTTTCAGTTCTAGTTCTAAGTTCATTCAGTTCTAGTTCAGTTCTAGTTCAGTTCTAGTTCAGTTCTAGTTCAGTTCTAGTTCAGTTCTAGTTCAGTTCTAGTTCAGTTCTAGTTCAGTTCTAGTTCAGTTCTAGTTCAGTTCTAGTTCAGTTCTAGTTCAGTTCTAGTTCAGTTCTAGTTCAGTTCTAGTTCAGTTCTAGTTCAGTTCTAGTTCAGTTCTAGTTCAGTTCTAGTTCAGTTCTAGTTCAGTTCTAGTTCAGTTCTAGTTCAGTTCTAGTTCAGTTCTAGTTCAGTTCTAGTTCAGTATTCTAGTTCAGTTCTAGTTCAGTTCTAGTTTCTAGTTCAGTTCTAGTTCAGTTCTAGTTCAGTTCTAGTTCAGTTCTAGTTCAGTTCTAGTTCAGTTCTAGTTCATTCTAGTTCAGTTCTAGTTCAGTTCTAGTTCAGTCTAGTTCAGTTCTAGTTCAGTTCTAGTTCAGTTCTAGTTCAGTTCTAGTTCAGTTCTAGTTCAGTTCTAGTTCAGTCTAGTTCAGTTCTAGTTAAGTTCTCAGTTAGTTCAGTTCTAGTTCAGTTCTAGTTCAGTTCTAGTTCAGTTCTAGTTCAGTTCTAGTTCAGTTCTAGTTCAGTTCTAGTTCAGTTCTAGTTCAGTTCTAGTTCAGTTCTAGTTCAGTTCTAGTTCAGTTCTAGTTCAGTTCTAATTCAGTTCTAGTTCAGTTCTAGTTCAGTTCTAGTTCAGTTCTAGTTCAGTTCTAGTTCAGTTCTAGTTCAGTTCTAGTTCAGTTCTAGTTCAGTTCTAGTTCAGTTCTAGTTCAGTTCTAGTTCAGTTCTAGTTCAGTTCTAGTTCAGTTCTAGTTCAGTTCTAGTTCAGTTTCTAGTTCAGTTCTAGTTCAGTTCTAGTTCAGTTCTAGTTCAGTTCTAGTTCAGTTCTAGTTCAGTTCTAGTTCTAGTTCAGTTCTAGTTCAGTTCTAGTTCAGTTCTAGTTCAGTTCTAGTTCAGTTCTAGTTCAGTTCTAGTTCAGTTCTAGTTCAGTTCTAGTTCAGTTCTAGTTCAGTTCTAGTTCAGTTCTAGTTCTAGTTCAGTTCTAGTTCAGTTCTAGTTCAGTTCTAGTTCAGTTCTAGTTCAGTTCTAGTTCAGTTCTAGTTCAGTTCTAGTTCAGTTCTAGTTCAGTTCTAGTTCAGTTCTAGTTCAGTTCTAGTTCAGTTCTAGTTCAGTTCTAGTTCAGTTCTAGTTCAGTTCTAGTTCAGTTCTAGTTCAGTTCTAGTTTAGTTCAGTTCTAGTTCAGTTCTAGTTCAGTTCTAGTTCAGTTCTAGTTCAGTTCTAGTTCAGTTCTAGTTCAGTTCTAGTTCAGTTCTAGTTCAGTTCTAGTTCAGTTCTAGTTCAGTTCTAGTTCAGTTCTAGTTCAGTTCTAGTTCAGTTCTAGTTCAGTTCTAGTTCAGTTCTAGTTCAGTTCTAGTTCAGTTCTAGTTCAGTTCTAGTTCAGTTCTAGTTCAGTTCTAGTTCAGTTCTAGTTCAGTTCTAGTTCAGTTCTAGTTCAGTTCTAGTTCAGTTCTAGTTCAGTTCTAGTTCAGTTCTAGTTCAGTTCTAGTTCAGTTCTAGTTCAGTTCTAGTTCAGTTCTAGTTCAGTTCTAGTTCAGTTCTAGTTCAGTTCTAGTTCAGTTCTAGTTCAGTTCTAGTTCAGTTCTAGTTCAGTTCTAGTTCAGTTCTAGTTCAGTTCAGTTCAGTTCTAGTTCAGTTCTAGTTCAGTTCTAGTTCAGTTCTAGTTCAGTTCTAGTTCAGTTCTAGTTCAGTTCTAGTTCAGTTCTAGTTCAGTTCTAGTTCAGTTCTATTCAGTACTAGTTCAGTTCAAGTTCAGTATAAAGATGTTAAGCAAAGATTTACAAGAACTCAATTTTAGTTTGTAACCTACTTGTATTTCAAATTCCTTGTCTTTTTTTTAACTTTAAACAAATTAAAAAATTTACCATTACAATACACTTTAATTAACCAATTAATTGTTAAGAAACACTTTAATCAAACAAAAGGCCGTATAAATGATGCTTCATTATATATTTCACAGTTAGTTGTTCTTTAAGGTTTTATTAAAATGTTTTTAAATTTTCAAATCATCTTTATATTAGTAACTTTATATCAGGCACAGGGAAAAAGTTTAACTCCAAATCAAACTGTATCGTTTATAAATGATTTGTTAAGTAATTTAGATCCCTTTTTGGATTTTGTAAACAAATTTAAAGATACAATGACGATAACAACAGAGGATAATTCAGATTCAAAGTTAGAGGAGGTGTTAAGTGATATTGGCGATATATCAAGATCCGGCATTGCTAAAACGAATAATGGTAAAGCTGATAACATTTTTAATTTTTTTTGGAAAATTAGTTATATATTTATTCCTCATTCAAAGGTTGTTCTCTTTCACTACGCAATGATCTTAAGGATCCCAAAATGCCTTTATTGATTAAGCCTGGAACCACTTTATTCTATCCTTATGATGAGAATGGGGTTATTAATGTCGATGTTAATGGTGAAATTGAACTAGTTTGTACGCGTGGATTTGCCACTCCAAATCAACCGTTGCTAACAATTACAACTGCCTTTTGCGTGGGCGGTCAGACTTTTAAAATCTTAAATAATCCTATTAATTTAGGTACTGTATCGTGTACTGCTTGGAATGATGTGGCGGTTGCCAATTTAAGCAACAGCTGTAATGGTGGCACTAAATTAATAGATGTAGGTTTCCAGTTGGCTCCCATGCGTTTTGCCAGTGTATATCAAGTGTGTTTTAATGAAAATTATGAGGTAACCCGTTATGTCCAGTATACCTTGTACAAGGGTGCTAATAATTTTCAGAATTCAGCGCGGCCCAGCAAATTTTTGAAGGCTGGTTTCTTTGGTGGCGAAGAACTGGATGTCATATATACGAAGCAAACACAAAAAGTTTTAGTTGATCGAATTTTGGGTCGGGATTCGGCAAAATATTTTAATGACAATGATTACTATTTGGTTAAAGGTCATTTAGCGGCTAAAGCCGATTTTGTTTATAGCAGCCATCAACGGGCAACATTTTTATATATAAATACGGCTCCTCAATGGCAGTCCTTTAATCGAGCCAACTGGTTGGCCGTCGAGAATGGTCTACGCAAATGGGTGGAGACCAACAAGCAAGACTTGTTGTGTTGGTCGGGTGTTTATGGGGTCACCAGTTTGAATGATGATATGAAGACCGATACTGAACTTTTTCTTTTCGAGGATAATGAAAATAATTTCCATCTACCGGTACCGAAATTATTTTTCCGTGTAGTTATTGAACCGATTAGTAAACTTGGTGTGGTCTTAGTAGGTGTTAATAATCCCCACGTTCCTATAAATATAATTAAACAGAGCTATGTCTTGTGTAAAGATGTTGCAGATAAAATTTCTTATATAAATTGGAAGAGGCTTGACCTTAAGAATGGATATTCTTATGCTTGTGAGGTCAATGAGTTTCGAAAAGTTGTAACCCATTTACCAATGTTTGATGTTCGGGGTTTGTTAGTCTAAAAAATAGTATTTAAAGTTATGACACCATATGAAGTATGTCTAGTAAATAATAAAATAAAAGTGATACCTTCAGTGAACTTAATAATGGTGACATATTAAGACCGCCGAACAATATTTGGGTTGGAAATCTCAGAATCTAAGTTTGATTAATTCAGTTCTAGTTCAGTTCTAGTTCAGTTCTAGTTCAGTTCTAGTTCAGTTCTAGTTCAGTTCTAGTTCAGTTCTAGTTCAGTTCTAGTTCAGTTCTAGTTCAGTTCTAGTTCAGTTCTAGTTCTAGTTCAGTTCTAGTTCAGTTCTAGTTCAGTTCTAGTTCAGTTCTAGTTCAGTTCTAGTCAGTTCTAGTTCAGTTCTAGTTCAGTTCTAGTTCAGTTCTAGTTCAGTTCTAGTTCATTCTAGTTCAGTTCTAGTTCAGTCTAGTTCAGTTCTAGTTCAGTTCTAGTTCAGTTCTAGTTCAGTTCTAGTTTCAGTTCTAGTTCAGTTTCTAGTTCAGTTCTAGTTCAGTTCTAGTTCAGTTCTAGTTCAGTTCTAGTTCAGTTCTAGTTCAGTTCTAGTTCAGTTCTAGTTCAGTTCTAGTTCAGTTCTAGTTCAGTTCTAGTTCAGTTCTAGTTCAGTTCTAGTTCAGTTCTAGTTCAGTTCTAGTTCATTCTAGTTCAGTTCTAGTTCAGTTCTAGTTCAGTTCTAGTTCAGTTCATCAGTTCTAGTTCAGTTCTAGTTCAGTTCTACTTCAGTTCTAGTTCAGTTCTACGTTCAGTTATACTTCAGTTCTAGTTCAGTTAGTTCAGTTCTAGTTCAGTTCTAGTTCAGTTCTAGTTCAGTTCTAGTTCAGTTCTAGTTCAGTTCTAGTTCAGTTCTAGTTCAGTTCTAGTTCAGTTCTAGTTCAGTTCTAGTTCAGTTCTAGTTCAGTTCTAGTTCAGTTCTAGTTCAGTTCTAGTTCAGTTCTAGTTCAGTTCTAGTTCAGTTCTAGTTCAGTTCTAGTTCAGTTCTAGTTCAGTTCTAGTTCAGTTCTAGTTCAGTTCTAGTTCAGTTCTAGTTCAGTTCTAGTTCAGTTCTACTTCAGTTCTAGTTCAGTTCTACTTCAGTTCTAGTTCAGTTCTAGTTCAGTTCTAGTTCAGTTCTAGTTCAGTTCTAGTTCAACTCTAGTTTAGTTCTAGTTCAGTTCTAGTTCAGTTCTAGTTTAGTTCTAGTTCAGTTCTAGTTCAGTTCTAGTTCAACTCTAGTTTAGTTCTAGTTCAGTTCTAGTTGAGTTCTAGTTTAGTTCTAGTTCAGTTCTAGTTCAGTTCTAGTTCTGTTCTAGTTCAGATCTAGTTCAGTTCTAGTTCAGTTCTAGTTCAGTTCTAGTTCAGTTCTAGTTCAGTTCTAGTTCAGTTCTAGTTCAGTTCTAGTTCAGTTCTAGTTCAATTCTGACTCAATTATAAGTAGTTCAGTTATATTTGAATTTCAACAAATTACAAAATGTACCATTACTATATGCTTTAAATAACCAATTAATTGTTGAGGAACACTTTAATCAAACAAAAAGCCATATAAATAACGCTCCATTACTTATGCCACAGTTAGTTACTCTTTAAGATTTTATAAAAATGCTTTTAAAATTTCATATCATATTGATATTAGTTACATTATTTCAGACCCGGGGAGAAAGATTAACTCAAAATCAAACTGTATCAGTCATAAATGATTTAAGTAATTTAGATCCCTTTTTGGATTTTGTAAAAAATTTGAAAGATACAATAACGATTACAACGGAGGATAATTCTGATTCAAAGATAGAGGAGGATATTGTCAAAATCTCAAGAATAGCAAATGCTAATAATGCTGGTATCGTTTTCACTTTATTAGAAAATTTTATATTTATTGTTTTTTTTTAATTCCCACCTAAAGGTTGTTCTCTTTCTCTACGCAATGATCTCAAGGATCCCAAAATGCCTTTATTGATTAAACCTGGAACAAATTTATTCTATCCTTATGATGAGAATGGTGTTATTAATGTCGATTTTAATGGAGCAATTGAATTAGTTTGTACACGTGGATTTGCCACTCCAGATCAACCTTTGCTAACAATTACATTTGGTTACTGTATAAGCGGCCAGACTTTCAATATTACAAATAGTTCTATGAATTTAGGCACTGTGGCCTGCACTGCCTGGAATGATGTGACGGTTGCCAATTTAAGCAACAGCTGTAATGGTGGCACTACATTATTAGATGTGGGGTTCCAATTAGCTCCCATGCGTTTTGCCAGTGTGTATCAAGTGTGTTTTAATGCAGATTATGAGGTAACCCGCTATGTCCAGCATACCCTGTATAAGGGTGCTAATAATTATCAAAACTCGCCGCGGCCCAGCAAATTTTTAAAGGCAGGTTTCTTTGGTGGCGAAGAATTGGATGTCATATATATGAAACAAACACAAAAGGTTTTACTTGATCGAATTTTGGGCCAAGACTCGGCAAAATATTTTAATGGCAATGATTACTATTTGTCTAAAGGTCATTTGGCGGCTAAAGCCGATTTTGTTTATGCCAGCCAACAGAGGACCACTTTTCTTTACATTAATACGGCTCCTCAATGGCAGTCCTTTAATGGCGGTAACTGGTTGGCTGTCGAGAATGGGTTACGCCAATGGGTGGATACCAAAAAACTAGACTTACTGTGTTGGACTGGTGTTTATGGTGTCACTAGTTTGGCCGGTGAAATGATGAACGACGTTGAACTTTTCCTATATGAAGATAATGATAAACATTTTCATTTACCGATACCGAAACTATTTTTCCGTGTTGTTATTGAACCGATTAGTAAACTTGGTGTGGTCTTAGTAGGTGTTAATAATCCTCACGTTCCTATAAATATTATTAAACAGAGCTATGTCTTGTGTGAAGATGTTTCAGATAAAATTTCTTATATAAATTGGAAGAGGCTTGACCTGAAGAATGGATATTCCTATGCTTGTGAGGTCAATGAGTTTCGAAAAGTTGTAACCCATTTACCAATGTTTGATGTTCGGGGTTTGTTAGTCTAAAAAAATAGTATTTAAAAGTTATGACACCATATGAAGTATGTCTAGTAAATAATAAAATAAAAGTGATACCTTCAGTGAACTTAATAATGGTGACATATTAAGACCGCCGAACAATATTTGGGTTGGAAATCTCAGAATCTAAGTAATGTTAATTCAGTTCTAGTTCTAGTTCAGTTTTGGTTCAGTTCTAGTTCAGTTCTAGTTCAGTTAGTTCTAGTTCAGTTCTAGTTCAGTTCTAGTTCAGTTCTAGTTCAGTTCTAGTTCAGTTCTAGTTCAGTTCTAGTTCAGTTCTAGTTCAGTTCTAGTTCAGTTCTAGTTCAGTTCTAGTTCAGTTCTAGTTCAGTTCTAGTTCAGTTCTAGTTCAGTTCTAGTTCAGTTCTAGTTCAGTTCTAGTTCAGTTCTAGTTCAGTTCTAGTTCAGTTCTAGTTCAGTTCTAGTTCAGTTCTAGTTCAGTTCTAGTTCAGTTCTAGTTCAGTTCTAGTTCAGTTCTAGTTCAGTTCTAGTTCAGTTCTAGTTCAGTTCTAGTTCAGTTCTAGTTCAGTTCTAGTTCAGTTCTAGTTCAGTTCTAGTTCAGTTCTAGTTCAGTTCTAGTTCAGTTCTAGTTCAGTTCTAGTTCAGTTCTAGTTCAGTTCTAGTTCAGTTCTAGTTCAGTTCTAGTTCAGTTCTAGTTCAGTTCTAGTTCAGTTCTAGTTCAGTTCTAGTTCAGTTCTAGTTCAGTTCTAGTTCAGTTCTAGTTCAGTTCTAGTTCAGTTCTAGTTCAGTTCTAGTTCAGTTCTAGTTCAGTTCTAGTTCAGTTCTAGTTCAGTTCTAGTTCTAGTTCAGTTCTAGTTCAGTTCTAGTTCAGTTCTAGTTCAGTTCTAGTTCAGTTCTAGTTCAGTTCTAGTTCAGTTCTAGTTCAGTTCTAGTTCAGTTCTCGTTCAGTTCTAGTTCAGTTCTAGTTCAGTTCTAGTTCATTTCTAGTTCAGTTCTAGTTCAGTTCTCGTTCAGTTCTAGTTCAGTTCTAGTTCAGTTCTAGTTCAGTTCTAGTTCAGTTCTAGTTCAGTTCTAGTTCAGTTCTAGTTTAGTTCTAGTTTAGTTCTAGTTCTAGTTCAGTTCTAGTTCAGTTCTAGTTCAGTTCTAGTTGAGTTCTAGTTGAGTTCTAGTTGAGTTCTAGTTGAGTTCTAGTTGAGTTCTAGTTGAGTTCTAGTTGAGTTCTAGTTGAGTTAGTTCTAGTTCAGTTCTAGTTCAGTTCTAGTTCAGTTCTAGTTAGTTCTAGTTCAGTTCTAGTTTAGTTCTAGTTTAGTTCTAGTTCAGTTCTAGTTCAGTTCTAGTTCAGTTCTAGTTCAGTTCTAGTTCAGTTCTAGTTCAGTTCTAGTTCAGTTCTAGTTCAGTTCTAGTTCAGTTCTAGTTGAGTTCTAGTTGAGTTCTAGTTGAGTTCTAGTTCAGTTCTAGTTGAGTTCTAGTTCAGTTCTAGTTCAGTTCAGTTCTAGTTCAGTTCTAGTTCAGTTCTAGTTTAGTTCTAGTTCAGTTCTAGTTCAGTTCTAGTTCAGTTCTAGTTCAGTTCTAGTTCAGTTCTAGTTCAGTTCTAGTTCAGTTCTAGTTCAGTTCTAGTTCAGTTCTAGTTCAGTTCTGGGTTCAGGGATTGGGCTTATAAAGTCTAACAATCAAATCCCTCTTCTATCACCAAATAACCAATCTGGAAACTAGATCAATTCTGGAACTTTTCTTGATAAAGAGTAAATGTTTTTCTACAACATTTCATTTTCACTTTATTAAAATTAAAACCAAAAATAGTCAAATATAAAATTTTCCGAAATGTAGTTATATAGCAGAAGCCTATTTAAACCAACAGACCACTAACCGAGAAAGAAGGCAATGTAGTGACCTTCTTACGGAATTCTGCCACCTCACAGGCATAAGAATAACCGGCCACAATATCAGTCTTCTTCCAGGGTATATAAGAAACCTTATCACTAATATCGGGGCAAATAATATAGTCTTTCTTAATCTCAGCCAATGTTAAATGAGGATTATTAACACCAATGAAAACAATACCCTTGCGAGTAGAGGGTTCAATCACTACTCTAAAGTACAATTTAGGTACAGGAATAAGACCATTGTGATTGGCATCATAAGACAAATACAAATGGGTTTGTACACCATTCTTATTGGGTAGAGTTGTCACACCATAAACACCAGTCCAGCATTCAACAGTCTTCTTGTGTTTAGTAACCCAGGCGCGAACACCATCCTCAACACGAGCCCAGTTGCCGGCATTAAACACCTGCCATTGAGGAGCTGTATTAAGGAACAAGAAAGTGGCACGTTGTTCGGAGGCATACATGAAATCAGCCTTGGCAGCCATATGACCACGAGCTAAGAAAATATTCTTTTTATTATCGAAATACTTTTCAGCATTGTAGCCCAATTCACGATCTATAGTTTCCTTTTGCTTAGACTGGGTATAGAGATTGTCCACATTTTTACCAGCAAAGAAACCTGCTGTGGCAAAGTTAAGGCGTTCCACACCAGTTTCATAGTAATTGCTGCCAGGGAATAATTTGTGGTAGACATAGCGGGTTACTTCCTCGTGCTCATTAAAGCAAACCTGGTATTGTCTCATGAAACGGGAAGATGACAATTCAAAACCAACATTGACAAGAGTAGTGCCGCCATTGCAACTGCTGCCCGACTTCTTGGCTACAAAAGCAGGCCAACTGGTACAAACAAGACTAGGCAAGGAGTGCTGAACACCATTGACTTTAAAAGTGGTGCCACTAACACAGGTGGCGGTATGGGTCTTGCCTGATAAAGGAGCAGCAAAACCACTGGTACAATGGATTTCAATATTCTTGCCAGCAGCCACATCAATTCTTCCAGTATCGGAAAAAGGATAGAATTCAGTAGTACCGGGTTTAATATACAAGGGTTGTTTAGCCTTAAGACCACCGCGAATGGGTATGGAACAACCTAAGGAGATATCAGCAAAAAGTAAGTGAATTGTTAATTTACATTAAACGTCTCAAACTCACCACCACTGCGTGGTTCAATTTCAACTTCTGATACAACTGGAACTTCGACAGGTAGTTCAACTTCTTCGGTTTCTTCTAAATCATTTTCGGGCTTAATAATATCCTCGGAATATTGTTCAATATCTTCTGGCATATAAACTCTAGGTTCCATAAACTGTGAAGGCATTTTCTCCAGCAACTCATCCTCCTGGATAAAGCGGCCCTGGACGGCAGCCAAGAGTAAGGCAGAGGCCAAAAATATTTGTAAAATTTTAACCTTCATGTTGAGGTCTGCGAGAAAAACTACATCGAACAAACTATCGCCAAAGTCTTAAATAGTTTTCAGTACGTGCTAAAACACACCTTCTTTCCAATATCATCTTGTTGTTTTTTTTTTCCAATAGAAGTGATAAACCTAAGTGCCTAACTGAAACTTCTAAACTTAGAAATCACGTTATTTTTTTCAAACCCAAAACAATCTGCTTAATCTTTGCCTTAGATCTTCACATGTTAAATTCTACACATGTTTCAAATACTGTGTCTGCAAATATGAATGATATTTCCCTTTCTTAAAATAATTTATTGATAAGATATATATTTATTGTTATATAGTTTAAAGTGCTTCATTTGGTGCTAAAGTTCAAAGATATTGGCCAAAAGATAGTAATATAAAACTAAAACAAAGTTATCAGTTTACCGTTATGGAACAGAGTTTCTTAACTCAAAACCATAATAATTTGTTCTAATTGGCTTGGAAGCTTTATCGGATTCGATTTAATAATGTTTGCACGTCAGCTCTTTCGGTCCTAGAATGAAAAACCATGCAACATTTCGCATAACTCTATTTTTTGTAAGAGAACTCCAAAAGAAAAACAAAGCTTTACTAAAGCTTTTTCCAATGCTTTTTATAGGGAATTCATTAGTTTTCATTTGATACCAATGTTAAAATATTCGTTTGAAATTGTAAGTCCTTTTATAAGGACATAAGATCTGATTATAAAAATCGGAGTATGCAGAATTGCTATAAAATGAATCTAGTTTCGCATGCATATCAACTTTTCTATGTGTGAAAGCTTTTTTCAAAATTGTTACAGGGTTTTATAGATTGTTATTTATTATACATGGTCTGTGATTATAAAGCACATATTTGATAAAAAAAAACTTCTATAAAGCTTTTTGGCCAATTATAATATAAGGCTTTTCGAAGAGGTTTCAATAAAATAAAGCTTTTTTCATAAAAAGTCTTTTAAGCTTTTTTCATAAAATAATGTTGTTTAAGCTTTTGAGATAAAAAATGTATAATTAAGTTTTTCGAATATTTGAAGCTTTTGTGATTTTTATAAAATAAAGCTTTTCTAGTTTTTTTATTGATAAAATAAAGATTCTTATAAAGCAAAGCTTTTGGAAGATTTTTTTTTTATAATTAAAAGTTTTTAAGAATTTTGTGATAAAGCTAAGCTTTTTAACTTTTGTGATAATATCAAGATTTCTTGAGCTTTTGAGGTGAAACTTAGTTTTTATTTTAAAACACCGTTTAAAGCTTTTGTAATGAAAAGGCTTTTAGAGTATTAAGAGATAAAAAAAAGCTTTTTGAAGCTTTTGCGATTTTTTTAAAATAAAATAAAGCTTTTCTACTTTTTTTTGTAAAATAATGATTCTTAAGCTTTAGTTATAAAACAAAGCTTTTAGAAAAATTTAAAAAAATAAAGCTTTTTTAAACATTATTCACAAATGCTGCAAGCTTTTTGTAACTTTTGTGATCAAATAAAGATTTAAGATTTTGTGGTAAAATTAAAAACTTAGTTTTTATTTTAAAACACCGTGCAAAGCTTTTGTCAAAAAAAAGCTTTTATAATATTTAAAGATACAAATTTTGAAGCTTTTGCGTTTTTTTTAATAAAATAAATCTTTTTTAATTTTTTTGGATAAAATAAAGATTATTAAGCTTTAGTGATAAAACAAAGATTTTTAAAGAATAAAGCTTTTTTAAACATTATTCACAAATGCTTTTTGTAACTTTTTTTATAAAATAAAGCTTTTTTAATGTTTTGTGGTAAAACATTTTTGTGATAAAATAAATTTTTAAACTTTTAAGATATTTTTTGATAAAATAATAAAAAAAATTAAGTTTTTATGATAAAAAGCTTTTGAAACATTTATCTTGAGAAACATTACTTTATGATAAAAAACTTTTTGAGTCTTTTATAGCAAAAAAAATATAATTTGTAAAGCTTTTGTTATAAAAAATAGATTTTTATTATTTGATTGTAAATCAAAGTCTTTGTCATAAAAAGCTTCAATTAACAAAAGTGTGATAGAAAAGCTTTTATGAAAAGGTTTTAGACATTTACAGTAAAAAATATTTTACTATGAAAAGTTTTTTTCAAGTTTTTACGATAAAAAGCTTTAATAATAAAAATTTATGATTTTGCCATAAAAAAGCTTTTGTAATAAAAATAGTATGAAATATTTTTCAAATAAAATATTTTTGATAACTTTGGCAATAAAACTACTTTAGAAACTCTTTACAATAAAAAACTTTTAAAAGCTTTTACAACAACAAATTTTTCTAAAAAAACTATTGAAAGCTTTTACAACCAAATAGTTTTTTAAGGGAAAGTTTTACAATAAACAATGTTGAAAGTTTTTTTTAAGTTTTTGTAACAAAAAAGCGGGTCAAAGCTTTGAAAATAAAAAATATTTTGAAACAATTTTATAATAAATAAGTTAGTGTTGGAAGCTTTTGCAGAAAAACATTATTATAATAAAAATAATGTTAAAGCTTTTTTAATAAAAAGGCAACAAATACTACTTTTAGATAAAAAGCTTTTAAAGCCGTTTCTATTAAGAAAACTCTTATTAGTGTTTACTTTGTATTCTCATCAGAAATAACATAAAAATATATTAAAATATTTGTATAAAGCTTTTCCCCTTTAGTATAGCTTCTTTCCCTACTTCTCTGTTAACCTTTTGAGAACCTCTGCTCCATTAATTCTAATAATAATTTTTGCAATTCATTCACATTTTGCACATAAATCTGACTAAACAAATATTTATTGTGGAAATCTTTTTTGCTGTCTCTAGTTGTTTTTAGGGAAACCTTTTGAATGTCTTGGTTATTTCATCAGCACGTGCTATTAAAATAAGTCTATTTTATATTTATCGAAGAAACTAAATAAAACACGAGTTTTTCACCTGATTCGTTTTGGGTAATTTGTTGTTTGCTATTGCTGCTGCTGCTAATGTTGTTGTTGTTATTGGTATTAAAACACAATTTATTATTGGCATTATTATTTATATTTATTATCTAAATTTATTTGTTTGTTGTAATGTTGTTAAGGGTTTCTTAACTTACCTTTAGTTTTGTTGTTGTTATAATAGAGAAGAAAATAGTATAAACATATTCTTGAAACAGATTTTTAGTTCCTCCATACCACTGTTCCATTACATGGTCATTTTCAAATTAAACTTAATCACTATTTGGTATAGCAATCTCCTCTATATTGAAACAACTAGAATCGATGGTAATATCCAGCATTTAAACAGTAGAAGAAATAAAACTAGTAAAATACATTGTTTTATGGATTGTATAAAATCCCATAATCATTTTCTTTTATTATTATTATTATTTTCTAAGCATATGTATGGAAAAAAACAAATATATTTATTACAATAGTTTTCTTATTAATTTTTCTTTTCTTTTGTTCTTTTTTTTTGTTGCTTTTTTAGCTTCTTATTTATTTAATTTACTGATTAGCATTTTGGACACTTAACTACAAAGGATATTTTCATTTTGTATCTGTGTTCAAAAGGTTGTTGTTTGTGTCATGTTACATAGATATGATAGGTAAATAGTATTAGTAGAAGTAGTAGTGTTAGTAAGTTAGTTTGTTGGTATTTGTGTTTTTGGACTTAATATAGATAAATAGAAAGATAAGATTTCTTAAGGTGTGGTTTAAGAATTATTTAACAAGTAACAGGCAGGGCGAGAGTGTAGAGGGTAGGAAGTAGTATAGAATTAATAATATAAACTATTTAAGATATTCTATATATGTTTGTGGGTAGGTAGAACTTAATTAGGTTTTACTAATATTTATTTATGTTTGTATATATGTATGTATGTATACTTGTAATTTCAGTATGCATTTTTTATATATCTGACTTATATACATTTATTTATTTACTTTATTTACACTTTAATAGAATAAATTACAATTTAATATTGTGTTTTTTAGAGTTGTTTTATAAATTAATTTTTCTAGTTAGTTTTTTTTTTTTAATATAATTAAAGTTAAATATATTAATTTTTTTTGCTATTTGAATTAATTACATTAAAAATATTACAAAGAAGTTTTCTAAACAGGCCGGGACAAGTTTTAAATATATGTTTCAGAGGATATTCGGGGAAAATAATTAAATTTATTCAAGATTTGTTTACAGAATTACAAATTTGTATTAGCTAACAAATATGTATATCCCAATTATATCTTATTAAATTGTTTCGAAAGATCTGAACTGAATTAGAACTGAACTAGAAGAGAACAGAACATAACTAGAACATAACTAGAACAGAACTAGAACAGAACTAGAACAGAACTAGAACAGAACTAGAACAGAACTAGAACAGAACTAAAACTGAACTAGAACTGAACTAGAACAGAACTAGAACAGAACTAGAGCAGAACTAGAACAGAACTAGAACTGAACTAGAACAGAACTAGAACTGAACTAGAACTGAACTAGAACTGAACTAGAACTAGAACTGAACTAGAACTATAGAACTAGAACTGAACTAGAACTGAACTAGAACTGAACTAGAACTGAACTAGAACTGAACTAGAACTGAACTAGAACTGAACTAGAACTGAACTAGAACTGAACTAGAACTGAACTAGAACTGAACTAGAACTGAACTAGAACTGAACTAGAACTGAACTAGAACTGAACTAGAACAGAACTAGCACTAGAACAGAACTAGCACTAGAACAGAACTAGCACTAGAACTAGAACTGAACTAGAACTGAACTAGAACTGAACTAGAACTGAACTAGAACTGAACTAGAACTGAACTAGAACTGAACTAGAACTGAACTAGAACTGAACTAGAACTGAACTAGAACAGAACTAGAACAGAACTAGAACTAGAACAGAACTAGAACAGAACTAGAACAGAACTAGAACAGAACTAGAATAGAACTAGAATAGAACTAGAATAGAACTAGAACAGAACTAGAACTAGAACTGAACTAGAACTGAACTAGAACAGAACTAGAACAGAGCTAGAACAGAACTAGAACAGAACTAGAACAGAACTAGAACAGAACTAGAACAGAACTAGAACAGAACTAGAACAGGTCTAGAACAGAACTAGAACAGAACTAGAACAGAACTAGAACAGAACTAGAACAGAACTAGAACTGAACTAGAGCAGAACTAGAACAGAACTGAACTAGAACTGAACTAGAACTGAACTAGAACTGAACTAGAACTGAACTAGAACTGAACTAGAACTGAACCAGAACTGAACTAGAACTGAACTAGAACTGAACTAGAACTGAACTAGAACTGAACTAGAACTGAACTAGAACTGAACTAGAACTGAACTAGAACTGAACTAGAACTGAACTAGAACTGAACTAGAACTAGAACTGAACTAGAACTGAACTAGAACTGAACTAGAACTGAACTAGAACTGAACTAGAACTGAACTAGAACTGAACTAGAACTGAACTAGAACTGAACTAGAACTGAACTAGAACTGAACTAGAACTGAACTTACGAGAAACTGAACTAGAACTGAACTAGAACTGAATCTAGAAACTGAACTACTGAACAGAACTGAAACTAGAACTGAACTAGAACTAGAACTGAGAACTGAACTAGAACTGAACTAGAACTGAACTACTGAACTAGAACTGAACTAGAATCTGAACTAGAACTGAACTAGGAATTGAACTAGAACTGAACTAGGAACTGAACTAGAACTCTGAACTAGAACTGAACTAGAACTAGAACTGAACTAGAACTGAACTAGAACTGAACTAGAACTGAACTAGACTGAACTAGAACTGAACTAGAACTGAACTAGAACTGAACTAGAAACTGAACTAGAACTGACTAGAACTGAACTAGAACTGAACTAGAACTGAACTAGAACTGAACTAGACTGAACTAGAATGAACTAGAACTGAACTAGAACTGAACTAGAACTGAACTAGAACTGAACTAGAATTGAACTAGAAACTGAACTAAAACTGAACTAGAACAGAAACTGAACTAGAGCTGAACTAAACTGAACTTGAACTAGCACTGAAATATGGCGTAGTGCATTCATAATTCGTTAATGCCGTCTGCTTTTTCTTTACTTTTTGTTTTATTTCATTTACAAATGTTAACATGGTTAAATTGTACTTTAACTTGTATTTCTCCCCTTTTTTGCTGTTGCATCCCCAGAATAATTAATGAGGTCACATGAATATTAATAAAACAATTCTTATTGCAAAAGTTAACATGTTTGCAGTTATGGGAAGAGGGTTTTGACAAGAAATTTTATTTTAATTCAATGGAAATCCAAGTTTTTTTTTGTTAACGTTAAAGGTAATAAGATGTTAAAGACAAATGGTATTATACAACAGTCTGGCTACTATTGGGAATAGAAAGATATTAAATCAGCGGAAAATTACTCATACGCTGTAAACCAGCGTATGAGTAATATGTATATTACAAAACTTTAGTAACCGGTTAATATTTTTAAATTTGCATTTAAAACGCGCTAACATTTGACATATTTGTTTTTGACACTTTTCCATAATATAATGGCAAGTAATGCTAAATCTATAAAACCTTAAACCACAAAATCAATTTCAAAAGATTTTTGGATAATTTTCATTATTTTTAACATCACATAAAAGAGGTGAAGTATAAAAGTTGCTGAACCAACTATAAACCACTGAAAACTGTTATATAAGAGAATTTCATTTAAAAAAGGATTTCTGAAACGGAAAAGGGGTGGTTAGGTAAAGCCTGTTTTATAATTATACACAAAATTGTTTATGGATTACATTTGGTTTTTGATTTTCCTGGTTTTCCTTTTGTTTGAAAAAATGTTTTTTTTTTCTATTACAATATTTGTTTTTGTCGTAATTTAGCTGTTAACAAGCGGAAGCTCTATTCATTATTTTAGTGGTTACGAATTTTGAAACGGAATATTTGGTTTGGTTGGATATTTTGATTTCTTTTACCTTTCTGTACGATTTTACAGAAAAATCACAATTTGTGCGTAAATTTCAACAGTTACTAAGACAGCCATTATTAAGGCATTTACACAGCAGTAGAGGCGTCGCAATGGACGTCGACGTTGACATTGTGACTGTTGCCAGTTATTAAATGAGTTTGACAAATATTGCTGCTCTTGCAATTTCGCAGCGTTGTCCTCATGGCTGCTTTCGCAGATGTGCTGGCTAGCAACATATAACTCGTCGACGACGGCAGCGTCGTAGTCGGAGACTTTTGATTCCGTTTTAAATCTTGCATTTCCAATGCAACCCGGCCAATGTCAAACGGACGCCAACGACGATGAACTATTATAGGCTACCAGTAAAGAGTCATTTTCATCACTGCCACTGCCGGCACTGCGTTCCGATTCGTTTATAACCTCCAGTTTAGTTTGGGGATGAGCAATTTTATATTTATTATGGCGTTTATTGACCAGAACCGAGCGTATATTATTATTGCGCACACGATGAGAACGTTCGTTGCGCCTATGGCGATTGGGTGAGGCACCCAACATAGAACAATCACTACTCTCGCCCTCATCGTCATAGTAATCATCAGCATCATCATAGTAACCCTCACAATCATAATCGTCACCCTCATAATCATAGTCTTCATCATTTTCAAAATCATAATCATAATCATCGATATCAAAGAAGGCACAACAACCTATCGTGGTTTTATTATGTGTAGCGGAACTTTGACGACGGCCACGTGAATTTTGATAGTGCTGTTTGTAGTGTTGTTGCTGGTTTAGGTGCTGGTGATGATGATGATGGTGGTGATGATGTTGACATTCATTATACGACTTAGCCAGTGTATTGTTGGTAGCTGTTGTTAGTGTGGTTTTAGCCTGCATTTGGTAGGATGAGAAGTCATAGGATTTGTTATTTTTGTTATTGATTAGTTGTTTATTATACATGCTGTCATTATATTCAAGTTCTATTACCTCTGGACCACGCCATGTTATGCCGGAACGTACCAAATTATAGAAACGTAATACACCCCACATGGAAAGCACCTGCAAATAGGAGAAAAAGTTATTGAAATGATTAGTTTGGTTATTGGAATTAAAGGTTTTCTTCTAACTTAAGCTTAAATATGAGGGCACAAATCTTTTGTAAAGCTTAGAGCTTTTCTTTTAAAACTCACGCTTTAAATTAAAATATTGTTTTAATCTTTTTAATTAGAACTCATCATTAGTTTTTGTTTTGGTTTTACTGAAAATAAGCTTTAAACGTACAAAACATGCGCCGTTTTTGATTAGCTTTAAAGCTTTTTATATCAGTATAAAGTTGTAGGCAAAGAACTTTTATAAAGCTTCCTTAAAGCTTTAAATCAAACCTTGGATTGAAACATTCTTATTAATACTTGCCATTAGCTTTTTTGATTCTATTGGAAGCTTTAAGTTTTTCTAATAAAGTACTTACAATATAAGCTTTAAACCTGCAATATTTATGATAAGCTTTAAAGCTTTGTATATGAGTATTAAAAGCTCTTTATAATAATCAAACTATTGCTTTTCTTTTTCTATGAAAACGGTTCGAAAGTGTAAAGCTTATTGGAAGAAACCAAATCAGCTTAAAGTTTTGCATAACTTGTTAATAAAGCTTTAAAGTTTTGTTTTAATTTAAGGCCCAAAGACGATATAAGTGTAAAGGAACTTATCAATAGATACAATTTTGATTGAAACTTTCTTATTGAAGCTTCTCAGAATTTATTAAAACCTAAAGCTTTATATCTGTTTGCAAGCTTTTGCAAATGAGCTTATAATGCAAAATTGTTAACATCAAACAAAAGCTTAAACTTTTCAGAAAAAACTGTTGTTAGGAGCCCTAAACTCTTTTGTGCTTTCTCACAGATTTGAATTAATTCCAATTTTCAAACAAAAGCTTTGGTAACCTTTAAACTAATACATTTTTGATAACACCCTGTGTAAAAAAATGTCAATCAATCCATTTTTTTTTTTGATCGAAAACATCAAAAATATTGCAAAATTTCAGTGTAAAAATTGGAATTAAATTGAAAAAATAAATTTTTAAAATTTATTTAAAAGATTTTATATAAAAATATGTATAAAATTATACATTTTGATAAAAAGCTTTGTCACCTTTTAAGACATCATTTGGATTTTGTGGACGAAAATATGTGTGATATTTACTCCATATGGAATTTTTGTCCTCGAACAAGATGGAAAACTTTGAAAAACTTTTTTGCTGGAAAATATCTATGTCGGGCACAGTACTTTCCTATCATATATTGGTTAGTTTTAGTGGTTTCAATAATGGGTAGTGTAAGTCTAGTAATTTTCCAAGAAATTTATAACAGAAATTAATTAAAACTTTTTGTTTAGATCTATAGTTTCTCTGAATTCTCATCATTATTTTGGGGCACACGCAAGCAGCTCAATATGTGGCGTCAACGTACATTTTATGTTTTACCACCATCTGTTTTGCGTAAATGTCGTTTAGTGGGCGCCTTAATCATGTTAAAAGCTTGGGTGTTATTGTGGTATGCTGTGGTCAAGGTTCAGTTTTATTTTGTGTTAAAAAAAAAAAAACAAACATGATGTTGTTTTTAATCAGCTTTTGTTTTGTGGTCATTTTACAATATCTTTCTCTAACTATCATGTAGGTATCCCCCTCTCAAATGACACCTTGGCTGATCATAAATATGCTTGTTTTGGGTTCTGATTTAATCATATGGATTACTGAGGTATTTTCTGGTGTTTGTAAATTGGAATTGCGAACTTTATTCTCTTTCACCTTGATGATAGTCAATTATTTGTTTGTGCGCTGCGTGCAAAGTGTCTTTCAAAATGCCATTGAAATGAACGATGTGGAAGATTTAAGATTATGGAAAAGTTTTTAACTGTCCATCACTCACACCATTTGTTGTTATATTTTATAATCTTTAAGTGCTAAAAATATATATTCAATTTTCAAATTGTTTTTTGTTTAATCTTGTCCAACAAAGAGTGCGAAAAAATGTAAATGCTTTTACTTTAATATTGCATTTTTTTCTTTTTCAAATTTCTTTTTAACGTTTTTTATTTTTTGGAGGGAATTCTATTATAATATTTTATTATATTGTTATATCGGAAGTACGTACATACATATATTTTATTTTAATATTCTTTTGCAATTTTTGTCCATGAATTACTTACATTTATGAAAGCTCGTGCTATAAAAAAGGCCACTTCCGCTTTGCACATTGCATCGAATTGCTGCGAAAAAAGAAAAGAGAAAATATTGTTTGCTTTAAAAGAAAAACTAACTAAAAGGAAGTTAAAGTTAATAAAACTAAAATATATCTTTTAAGTAAGTCAAGTTTTGCATAAATATTTTACTTATAAAATGATCTACGAGTAAATAATTAAAATTAAACAAAACATGAGCGGAAAAACTTGAACTGAAAAGAAATAGAACTGAACTAGAACAAGCACTAGAACTAGAACTGAACTAGAACTGAACTAGAACTGAACTAGAACTGAACTAGAACTGAACTAGAACTGAACTAGAACTGAACTAGAACTGAACTAGAACCAGAATTGAACAAGAACTGAATTCGAATTGAACTAGAACTGAACAAGAACTGAATTCGAATTGAACTAGAACTGAACTAGACTAGAACTTGAACTAGAACTGAACTAGAACTGACTAGAACTGAACTAGAACTGTAAACTAGAACTGAACTAGAACTGGAACTAAAACTGAACAGAAACTAATAGACTGAACTGGAACTGAACTAGAAATGAGCTAGAAACTGAACTAGAACTGAACTAGAACTGAACTAGAACTGAACTAGAACTGACTAGAACTGAACAGAACTGAACTAGACCTCAGACTAGAACTTGCAACTAGAATGAAACTAGAAACTGACTAGAACTGGAACTATAAATGTACTAGAACTGAAACTAGTAACTGAACTAGAACTGACTAGAAACTGAATATAACTGAAATAGAACTGAACTTGACTGAACTGAACTGCCTAGAACTGAACTAGAACTTAACTAGAACGGAACTAGAAACTGAACTAGAAACTGAACTATAACTGAACTAGACTGAACTAGAACTTAACTAAGACTGAACTAGAACGGAACTAGGAACTGAACTAGAACTGACTAGAACTAACTATAACTGACTAGAAACTGAACTAGAACTGAACTAGAACTGAACTAGAACTGAACTAGAACTGAACGAGAACTACTAGAACGGAACTAGAACTGAACTAGGAACTGACTGAACTGAACTAGAACTGATAGAACTGAACTAGAACTGAACTAGAACTGAACTAGAACTGAACTAGAACTGAACTAGAACTGAACTAGAACTGAACTAGAACTGAACTAGAACTGACTAGAAACTGAACTAGAACTGGAACTAGAACTGAACTAGAACTGGAACTAGAACTGAACTAGAACTGAACTAGAACTGAACTAGAACTGAACTAGAACTGAACTAGAACTGAACTAGACTGAACTAGAACTGACTAGAACTGAACTAGAACTGAACTAGAACTGAACTAGAACTGAACTAGAACTGAACTAGAACTGAACTAGAACTGAACTAGAACTGAACTAGAACTGAACTAGATCTGAACTAGAACTGACTAGAACTGCACTAGAACTAGAACTGAACTGAACTAGAACTGAACTAGAACTGAACTAGAACTGAACTAGAACTGAACTAGAACTGAACTAGAACTGACTAGAACTGAACTAGAACTGAACTAGAACTGGACTAGAACTGAACTAGAACTGAACTAGAACTGAACTAGAACTGACTAACTGAACTAGAACTGAACTAGAACTGATCTAGAACTGATCTAGAACTGAACTAGAACTGAACTAGAACTGAACTAGAACTGAACTAGAACTGAACTAGAACTGAACTAGAACTGAACTAGAACTGAACTAGAACTGAACTAGAACTGAACTAGAACTGAACTAGAACTGAACTAGAACTGAACTAGAACTGAACTAGAACTGAACTAGAACTGAACAAGAACTGAACTAGAACTGAACTAGAACTGAACTAGAACTGAACTAGAACTGAACTAGAACTGAACTAGAACTGAACTAGAACTGAACTAGAACTGAACTAGAACTGAACTAGAACTGAACTAGAACTGAACTAGAACTGAACTAGAACTGAACTAGAACTGAACTAGAACTGAACTAGAACTGAACTAGAACTGAACTAGAACTAGAACTGAACTAGAACTGAACTAGAACTGAACTAGAACTGAACTAGAACTGAACTAGAACTGAACTAGAACTGAACTAGAACTGAACTAGAACTGAACTAGAACTGAACTAGAACTGAACTAGAACTGAACTAGAACTGAACTAGAACTGAACTAGAACTGAACTAGAACTGAACTAGAACTGAACTAGAACTGAACTAGAACTGAACTAGAACTGAACTAGAACTGAACTAGAACTGAACTAGAACTGAACTAGAACTGAACTAGAACTGAACTAGAACTGAACTAGAACTGAACTAGAACTGAACTAGAACTGAACTAGAACTGAACTAGAACTGAACTAGAACTGAACTAGAACTGAACTAGAACTGAACTAGAACTGAACTAGAACTGAACTAGAACTGAACTAGAACTGAACTAGAACTGAACTAGAACTGAACTAGAACTGAACTAGAACTGAACTAGAACTGAACTAGAACTGAACTAGAACTGAACTAGAACTGAACTAGAACTGACTAGAACTGAACTAGAACTGAACTAGAACTGAACTAGAACTGAACTAGAACTGAACTAGAACTGAACTAGAACTGAACTAGAACTGAACTAGAACTGAACTAGAACTGAACTAGAACTGAACTAGAACTGAACTAGAACTGAACTAGAACTGAACTAGAACTGAACTAGAACTGAACTAGAAACTGAAACTAGAACTGAAACTAGAACTGAACTAGAAACTGAACTAGAACTGAACTAGAACTGAAACTAGAACTGAACTAGAACTGAACTAGAACTGAACTAGAACTGAACTAGAACTGAACTAGAACTGAACTAGAACTGAAACTAGAACTGAACTAGAACTGAACTAGAACGAACTAGAACTGAACTAGAACTGAACTAGAACTGAACTAGAACTGAACTAGAACTGAACTAGAACTGAAATAGAACGAACTAGAATGAACTAGAAAGAACTAGAACTGAACTAGAACTGAACTAGAAGAACTAGAAGAACTAGAACTGAACTAGAACTGAACTAGAACTGAACTAGAACTGAACTAGAACTGAACTAGAACTGAACTAGAACTGAACTAGAATGAACTAGAACTGAACTAAACTGACTAGAACTGAACTAGAACTGAACTAGAACTGAACTAGAACTGAACTAGAACTGAACTAGAACTGAACTAGAACTGAACTAGAACTGAACTAGAACTGACTGAACTAGAACTGAACTAGAACTGAACTAGAACTGAACTAGAACTGAACTAGAACTGAACTAGAACTGAACTAGAACTGAACTAGAACTGAACTAGAACTGAACTAGAACTGAACTAGAACTGAACTAGAACTGAACTAGAACTGAACTAGAACTGAACTAGAACTGAACTAGAACTGAACTAGAACTGAACTAGAACAAGAACTAGAACTGAACTAGAACTGAACTAGAACTGAACTAGAACTGAACTAGAACTGAACTAGAACTGAACTAGAACTGAACTAGAACTGAACTAGAACTGAACTAGAACTGAACTAGAACTGAACTAGAACTGAACTAGAACTGAACTAGAACTGAACTAGAACTGAACTAGAACTGAACTAGAACTGAACTAGAACTGAACTAGAACTGAATACTAGAACTGAACTAGAACTGAACTAGTACTGAACTAGAACTGAACAAGAACTAGAACTGAACTAGAACTGAACTAGTACTGTACTAGAACTGAACTAAACTACAACTGAACTAAAACTAGAACTGAACTAGAACTGAACTAGTACTGAACTAGAACTGAACTAGAACTGAAGTAGAACTGAAGTAGAACTGAACTAGAACTGAACTAGAACTGAACTAGAACTGAACTATAACTGTACTAGAACTGAACTAGAACTGAACTAGAACTGAACTAGAACTGAACTCTAATTGAACTAATTGTGTTGTGGAATTGTTTTTTGCGTGCTTTTATGTGTTTTTGCCCAAAACTCATTTTAGTTCATTTAAATCAATGATATATAAGACACTTATTATTAAAAATTAAAAAAAAAATTATTGTTTTTTCAATAAATAGTATTAATTAAAATAAAAGTAAAATTAAATTAAAATAATGAATTTAATTAATTATTTTTATTTTTATTTTTAAATTTTATAATGGTAAAATAAAAACTTTCAAATATATAGAGAAATTTATTCGCCTTTATTTATAAAAAGTCTATTAATAAATTCTTTCGTTTTAGGTTGCAGAAGGGATTGAGATAACAGAAGACATCAGGCATACCATCTACAAGGCTTCCTGTATTGATTATTCGCTGAAAATTTACGAATTGAAGACTAAACCAACATGTTCTTTCAAGATGTCAGCAGCACTGCTTAATGCAGAACAATTCAACTTTTAAAATGTCTCTCTTAAATTTGACTAAAATAAATAAAAATAATAAACTGAAAAGGTATACAAAATGAAAATAAAAATAAATAGATAAATAAATCAAACAAAAATGAAATTGTGTGTAAATAAAGAAATGATTAATATTGTTAAAAAATAAATTTAATGGCTGAAATTCTAACCTTTCATTTGATACCACTTTCTTAACAATAGATCAAACATTTATCGAGTTATAAGCTTCCGAACATAAGATGAACAATTCTAAAAACTGCCAGGTGTGGCTGCACATTGTCTTTACATTTTGTTCAATATTTCAAAGCATATTAAGAATTTTGTAATAACATTTTGGATGTTAATAAAATGAAATACTATGATTCCTATGAGTTATCACGCAACTCCCAAAGTATGTTATGAAGTGAGTTATACATGCAAAATATGAGTAAACATATAGTTGCCATTTTCGACATCTTCGACTTATTTTTTGACAAAAAAGGTTCAAAAATCTAAAAGCTGAAATCCTTGCCTTCAATTTGATATAAAATTCTTTACAATGCATCAAACGGTTCTTGAGTTATAAAGTTCTAAACTTTAGTCGAACAACACCAACAACTGTCAAAGGTGACTTCAAATCGATTTTTGATTTTAT